GTTTGTTGTCTTTTACCAACAGTAACTCTCTGCCATCCCTTTTTCTTACCGCAACGCGTGGGAAGAAGGAAATGCAAGTTTATTTAAGCTCATGCTCTACTTACCTCAAACCCTCTTCCTCCATCAAGAGTCTTTGCGGTAAGGAACCTTTTACCCAAGATGGATGTATAATTGACATTGACCATTCAACATCTATTGCAGCCCGAATGATGTAAAATCTCAGCTGAAAATGCAGAAATATAGCTTAGATACACTATGTAAAGGACCGTCGTACATACTTTGCATTTGTCGTCATCGTTGAATATTGCTGGGTAAAACGGTGAAGTCAAAAAAGTGTCTCTTGTTGACAAAGACAAATTTCTATTTAACTCGGTTGAGTAAAGTAGAAACGATCCTGAAAAATTTGCAGCTAGTGAGAATCGCTATTGTCTTGCATGTGAAAAGTAACCGACCTCCTTTTGGTCTTGCTTCATGCGTGGGACCAAAATTTCTCATTGTCCGCTTGACCCGCAGGAGATGTTCATTCACAGGTTTGTTCTGTTCCGCAGTCAGTATTGTCCAGCCGTCGCAGTAGACTTTTTCATCGTTGAAGTCGCACTTTGAGCCAGACGGTTGCTGTTCTAGAATATACGATTATAATTTGCTTGAATTTTTTTCAAGCTACGGTAAAAATGCGGGATGTGTTGCAAGAGGAACGATAGCAATTGCTAGCCGCTGCTGCCAGTGCTTGGAAACTATTTTCTTTTGAAATTACAACTTTTAGACTCAATGAAAATCAGTAAAGTTGGGATACATGCCTTTCTTGATAAGAACTTCTTGAAGTCCAGTGATAAGTGCGTTTTGGTTTTATCATTGCAGGAAAAAACGTAAACTCGGAAGTTTTGCACTTTTCAAAGTTTAATGCATGTTCACACCTCATTTCCAAGCAAACAAAATCTGTTCAACGCTTTGAATTAAAGCATTAAAAACGAGAATTCTCTGAATTTCGTTGGACATAAAATGAGAATAAAAGTACGCTGATTTTTGACAACCATCAGCTATCGCTCTTGCTCGCCACCCAAAATGCGGTATACTTCCCCTTTGTCTTGGAATTTTCGACTCAAACATAATCTCTAAATATCGCAGTTTGTTACGTCAAATTCATTGATCAATATTCAGCAAAGTATAAAGTAGTAATTATTATAAACTTTATCATGAAGCTAAGCTGAGTCACTGATTATGAACAGAATTTGCACTCCGTAAGGCTTTCATACTTGGCCAAGTAAACTGCCACATCGTTTTTTTGGTTCTTTTGAACATGTGGTTAAACCTTTTGGAACGCTTGAAAATTCGTTAAAGCTGTCTGATGAAATCAGCATGACCGAAGACAACACTCTACACAACTCTTCAGACTTTTTGAAACTTTTTTCTTAAAAGGCTTATTTCACAATGGGCTGTATGGCTAAAGGTTCCTATCGTAGGTCTTACGTTAACGAAGAGCGATGGATGATTCGCTTCATTCTTTATACCTAAGTTAGAGACTGCACAGCGAACGGTACTTGAAGCTGTGCAAAAGATTTTCGGAAAAAGAGCTACATATTAACAGCTGAAAATGTGTACTTCCTTTTGCAAAGCCCTGTAAAAGATTTTTCACCAGATAGCTGAGTTGAGGCTACTATATGGAATTCATACATATTTTGATCTACGTATACAACAGTAAAGATGCCGCGGTTCCGCACGACGATTACGGTACTTTCTCACGCTTGCGGCAATCGCTTCCGGACTTCTCCTTGCCCTAGCGCATTGTTAGCCGAAAGATGGGGTTTTGCTATTTCGCAACGCGTTTGGCTTATGGCCAAGCACACGT